TGCGAAGCGCCACCCCGACCACCTCCACCTCCTCCACTACCGCCTCCTCCACCTCCGCCACCACCGCTGCCTCCGCTAGCACCGCCGCCGCCTCCGCCGCCTCCGCCTCCACTGCTGCCACCGACACCTCCACCCCCGCCACCACTCCCACCGCCACCCCCACTCCCTCCGTCGCCTCCACCGCCACCTCCACCACCTCCGCTAGCTCCACCCGCGCCCTTGCCCCCCTTGCCCTTGCCAGAGTGGCGTCTCCCGCTAGGGGCAGACGCCGCACCGACCGACTCAAGACCAACGAGGTCGGCCGCAGCGGCAGAGGCGACAGAGGGCAAAAGGGGGGAAGGAGAACACCCCTCAAAGATGGGGGTGCGAGGGTCACCACGAGAGGCTCCTACAGCGACTATGCTCTTCTCCGCTGCTAGGAGGGCCTTCTCTAGGAGGTCAACAGTGAGAGTGGTGGGACAGATTGAGAGGAAGTGGTCCCTAACTACACGAAGGGAGTCAGGGAGGCGGGTGACTATATAATAGAGAGTGATGTACATGGGGGGGGGTTCTTGGCGCAGAACTCAGCAGGAAGCGCGGCGCGGTAGCGAGTGTCACCAGTGCGGAGGTGCGTAATGAGGTCAGCGACTGTGGGAAAGGCAGCAAGGTCAGGGAAGAGGTACGGTAGCATGAGGCGGCTCAGTCCAGCAGTGGCAGGGGAAGAGTAGCGCACAACTACAGCGTCGTACAAGGTCTGAGCACTCTTGTACTGACTAAAGTGCGCGCGCTCCGTGGTAGGCAGGTGGCGACGCACAGCAAGACGTGCAGCAGCATCGCGCGTGGCCCACTTGGAGCGAACAGTGGGGTCAGCATCAGCAGCAGGGGCAGGAGAGGCGCCAGAGGTGAGGTCAAAGAGAGAGAGACCGTCTGCCCTATCGCACTGTAAGAACAGCTGCAGGTCGTCGACCTAGACCTCAAAGTCAATGGCTCGACCCTCAGCGTCAAAAGCGAGGACACTAGGGGTAGCCATGACAACACTAGACTAGTAGTACCAACTGTAGGACAGGGGCAGTGCAGTGAGAGAAGCGCTGCTCTCACCAGACAGGGCGGTTCGGGCAGCTCAGCAGCACACCAACACGGCAACACGGCTGCTCGGACGGCTCAGCAGCAACTCCGGCTCCGCGGCACCAGCGGCTCGGCTCCTCAGGTGGCTCGGGCGGCTCGGGCGGCTCGGGTGGGTCGGGCGGCTCGGGCGGCTCGGGCGGGTCGGGCGGGTCGGGCGGGTCGGGCGGGCCGGGCGGGTCGGGCGGCTCGGCTCCTCAGCGGCTCAGGCGGCTTGGGCGGCTCGGGCGGGTCGGGCGGCTCGGGCGGCTCAGGCGGCTCGGGCGGCGCTGGCGGTGTAGGGCGGTAGGGCCGCTGGTAGGGCGGTTGGGCCGCAAGGTAGGTGGCTGGGCCGCAGAGGGAGGGGTGGCGGGGCCGCAGTGAAGGGCGGCGGGGCCGCCGTGAAGGGCGGCGCGGCCGCTGAGAAGGGCGGCGGGGCCGTAGTGAGAGAGGCGGCGGGGCCGCAGAGAAGGGCGGCGGGGCCGCTGAAAAGGGCGGCGGGGCCGCAGCAAGAGAGGCGGCGGGGCCGCAGTGAAGGGCGGCGGGGCCGCTGAGACGGGCGGCGGGGCTGCAGCGAAGGGCGGTGGGGCCGCAGGGAAGGGCGGCGGGGCCGCAATGTGAGGCGGCGGGGCCGCAGCGAAGGGCGGCGGGGCCGCAGCGAAGGGCAGCGGGGCCGCTGAGACGGGCGGCGGGGCCGCAGCGAAGGGCGGCGGGGCCTCAGTGTGAGGCGGCGGGGCCGCAGCGAAGGGCGGCGGGGCCGCAATGTGAGGCGGCGGGGCCGCAGCGAAGGGCGGCGGGTGTTAACGGGAATGAAGTGTTGGCCCCGCCCTCGCTTGGGCAACGCCGACAACTTGGTCGGATGTACGGAAGTAACAGCCGACTGCTCACAGTGGGATAGCTGCTCGACAGGTTACGTCGAGCTGCAGCGGACCACTGTGGTGTTGCTGTCGACCAAGATGCTCGACAGCTGCACCTGACTGGCCTGGGCGACGGGTGAGCCGTCCGGGAGGTCAACGGAGCATCCCGTCGAACTGCAGTTCGACCGGGAGGTCGACAGAGCAGTTCTGGTCGACGGAAGGGGTCCGTCGACCAAGGGGTAGCTTGACGGGAGGTGTGGTCGACCAGGAGCGCCCGGTGGTCGACCAGAGGGACCCAGTGGTCGACGGGAGGCACCTGGGAGTCGACCAGAGCACCAGGGGTCGACCAGGTCGACCGGGTAACCTGCTCGACGAGTTCTGCAGAGGCACGCGAACGTCGTCGAGATCGCGATGGCGCAGGCGACTTTGGGCTGGTATCCCGAAGTCGATGTGGCTCGTCAGGCGCAGACAAACAGCCGACGGATGCCCAACGAGGCAAGTCGGGCCAATCATCTGCGCACACCTGTGAGCGCGCGCACTGCTGTGTTCTACGGGGCACGCCGTCGACCTGCTTTGTTGGCAGGTCGCCCTTCTGCAGTGCTGGCGCGGCTCCTCTACGCAATGCTGGCAGGCGGTCGACCGAGCTGCGCTGGCGGTCGACCAGGCTGGCTGCAGGGTTGCTAGGTGCCTGATGTAGTCATTGTTGTCATTGCTTCTTGATTATTCTGGAATTCCAACTTTGCTAGTGAAAACTCTTGCCAAATTCTTCCGTGAATGTGCAAACACTAAGGAACTAAGCAAAGCTAAGATCACCTCTAGTAGTTCGTGCCAACCCCTGTAGTCTAGCTCACTACCGTTGTAGAGTTAATCTCCACAGCGGGGCCGCTGAGAAGGGCGGCGGGGCCGCAGCGAGAGAGGCGGCGGGGCCGCCGAGACGGGCGGCGGGGCCGCAGGTAAGGGCGGCGGGGCCGCAGTGTGAGGCGGCGGGGCCGCAGCGAAGACCGGCGGGGCCGCAGTGAAGGGCTGGGGGGCTGCAACGAAGGGCGGCGGAGCCGCAGCGAAGGGCGGCGGGGCCGCAGCGAAGGGCGGCGGGGCCGAATCGACGGGCGGCGGGGCCGCTAGGGGGATGGGGCCGCTAGGGCGTTGGGGCCGCTATGGCGGCTCGACGAAGTGAGAGCCCGGAGCGTGACTCGGGCTGAGCGCGCTTCGGGCAGGAAAAAAAACTCGATGTGGTGGGCCCTAGGCACAGTTCCCACGGGGGAACCTGCTCGATACCATGAAGAAATTAGAATGAGAATGAATGACTATGGAATGAAAGTGATACAAATATGCAACCCTAGAAATGTGTACCCCATGTGGGCTGCCCCACTATAGCCTACACAACATTATAATTTGACACACCCTGCACCACTTGTTACGTCGTTTCCTCTCTCTCCTTCTCTCTGTCACTCATTTTGGGAAAGAGTTTCAGAGAGTAAGATCGTGGGGTGGATAAACTAGCGCCTCCAGTACGTCATTCTCATGCTCCGCTAAGTTATTCACCATGCAGTATCTTCACTGTTGGTGAGGTGGGCGGTACGCGAGTTGCTTAAAAGGAGCACTTCGCGTGCTTGAAAGGAGGGGCTCAAACGAAGAATTTGGAGAAAAATGCTATTTTTTAAGGCGTCAAAAAAATTAATTATGGAACAGCTACATTCCAAACCCCTTCGCGAATGGTCTCGCCGTCCAGACCCGTTTTCAAGGCCTGAAATCACAGCCGCTACGAAAACAAACGATGAATAAACTCAGATTTTTTTCAGAACAACTCTATTCCAAAACATTCCTCTATTTCTTTCCCTCATCACTCATACCACCCATCTCACCCGCTTCTCCTTCCAGCCGCCACCCCCAGTGATCCCATAGACATGCTGCCGGCGTATCTCTGGCACAAAGTCTTCCACTACCTCCTGCTGCCGCCCGGCTCCTCCCACCCCGAGAGTCCCCTCGTCCGCAGCAGGTGAAAGATGCCCTGGTATCTCGCTGCTGAAACGCAGCCCACAGCAGACACAAACCTGCCCGTGAGGTTTGTGGACCCTGATTTCACAGCAGCAGCACTGGAAGAATGTGAGGAGCTATGGCAGTGGGTGGGCGCTGCTGTGCTGCGCCATGTCCAGCAAGAGGCTCCTCTCCCTCATCCTCTCCTTCTCCGTGAGTTCTGCTCTGCTCTGCTTTGCACGTGACTGTTGGTGTGTGGTCAAGAACCTTCGCTGTGAGTTCACTGCTCGTGGCCCCAACAGATCAGCTGCACTCTGGCATTGCTACAACTACCACATATCCTGCCGCTGGTTACTACCAACAAGCACCTTACTCCCTCAGTTGAGCATTCGGGGACATCAGTCCTGATTGGACAGTGATGCTCCATGTGTAACACCAGTCCTTGGCTTTGAAACACATGCCCTTCAAAATTCACCATGCGCGGGAGAAAGAGATTACTAGAGCATATCCTGATTGGTCAAACGAGCAGCCAATCCGACAACTCCATTCCCATCCCATTCCTTCCCCTCCCATACCGTATGCTCACCGCCACCCCATCTTCCACCCAACCACCCTTCACATTCTCTCTTCCAATCCATCTGTCCCTCTCTGCAGGCCCACCGTCCCACCCCATCACCCACGTTTACAACAAGTTGCTCCCACAGTGGATCAGAAACGTCGCCTACCTCCTGCGCTGTCACCGAGTTGCCTTTTCAGTCCACTTAAAGCCAATGATCAATCCCATCCGTTCCCCTCTGCATGCCCTTCACCCCATTCTCCAGCCAACCACCCTTCACATTCTCTCTTCCACTCCCGTCCGTCCCTGTCTGCAGGCCCACCACCCCATCGCACTGGTTTACAACGAGCTGCACCCACAGTGGAGCAAAAGCGTCGCATTACCTCAATCATGCTTTCTACCTGAGATTTCTAGACCGGGTGGGTCCTTAAACAACCTTCCAATGCCGCCATTCCCTCACCAGTCTCCCTCTGCAGGCCCACCACCCACGAGCTGCACCCACAGTGGAACAAAAGCGACGCCTTGTTTTTATCATGCTTCTGATCCAAAATACTTACACCAGGTCCTTCAACAGCCTTACGGTGCCTCCATTCCTTCGCCCGTCCCTCTCTCTGCAGGCCCACCACCCCATCGACCTGGTATACAATGAGCTGCACCCACAATATAACAAGAGCATCACTTACTTCCTACGCTGCCACCCCCGCCTCAAGTCCCTCGCGCTCACCTTCACGCACGTCAAACAGATCGACAACCTCTGCTCGCCGCGTACCAAGTCATTCCCTGCCCTCACCTCCCTCAGTCTCAAGCTGCGCGGCTGTGCCGACAAAGCCTACCTGTTTGACGAAGTCGAGAAGGATGATGAAGAGGACGAAGCGGAGGAGAATTTCTGGAGTTGGTCCTTAAAGTGCCCGAATCTGCGGCGGCTGAAGCTGGGTCGGGGCAAGTGGGACCTCCGAACTGTGGGGTTCAAGTCGCTGAGCAGCTTGACTCTCAAGCACATGGATTGGAGCTACGTTGATCTCAAGAATCTTGGCACGGTCACACCACGGCTCACAGAGTTCGTTCTCTATCATAGCTGGGATTTGGACCGCCCGTCATCAGGCCCTGGTGGCGGCGGCACATTCACTTTCGACTTATCGAACGCCCAAACCGTCCGCTTTTACTTTCCGCACAACAACCTCACACTCTCCCTCACACTCTCTCGCTCTCTCACAACCTTCTCAGCCATGGCAAAACAACTGGTGCTTACCTGCAAGAGCACCGAACTTCTTGCCCTCCACCACCTCTCGCTGTACGGCCAGCAGCGGCTCGTCATTTCCTCCCTCCACCTCGCTTCCGTACGAGTGGCCTATCTCAACAGCCCTCCCAAAGACCACCACGCTCGCAATGATGAATCTTCTTCCTACCTAGACTCTCCTGTGTTGTCACATGAAATTTCTCCTGACAGGGAGAACGTGCACTGCCGCAGCTCTGCTGCATTCTCCTGGGCTGAATGGCTGGCCCCTATAGCGCCAACAGTGGAGGTGCTTATAGTGAGGCATGGGGTGTTTGTATAGGAGGTTGACGCGGAGTGGAGCTTCCTTAGCAGCCTTGGGATTGTTGTGGAGATGGAGGAGCAGTTTGAGGTGGATTTGAAGGTTGAGAAGCGTCGAGATGATGGTGAGAGGGAGGTTACAGTGGAGGAAACTCAGGAGCGCGATGGGAGGCTTTCGCAGGAGCAGCGACAGGAGGAGCGGCAGCGGCAGCGTTCGCAGCAGCAGATTTCGCAGCAGCAGGATTTACAGCGGCAGCTTTTGCAGCAGCAGCAGCGGCTCCAGCAGCGGCAGCAGCAGCTGCAGCAGCAACAACAGGAGCAGCAGGAGCAGGGGCAGCAGCATCAGCAGCAGATGCAGCAGCAGCAGCAGCAGCAGCAGCAGCAGCAGCAGCGGCGGAGGCAGCGGCAGCCGTATCAGTGGCAACAGCTGTCGCCACAGCAGGAGCAGCAGCAGATTTTGCGGCAGCAGTAGCATTTGCAGTAACAGCTTTTGCAGCAGCAGCGTTTACAGCAGCAGCAGCAGCAGCAGCAGCAGCAGCAGCAGCAGCAGGAGGTGGGGGAGGAGGAGGAGCAGGAGGGGCAGCAGCAAGAAGAAAGACCTCCGTTTATCTTGGCTCCAAACTTGAAAGCTTCTTCCCCACCCACACATGTGAGCAGCAAACCCTTAATTCCCTTCGCGAGTTCTGTCCCTCTCTCACCCTGTACTGCATCTCACGTCGCTCATTCTATTGGGAGAAGCAGGGGAGAGAGTTGGCTGAGACCCCTGTGGTGCATGTGAGGAAGGCGAGAAGCAGGGTGTCATGCGCTTGCTTTGCGGATAAGCGGCCGAAGAACGTGAGGGAGAAGATGCACAGTGTGAATAGGGATCTGGTTGAGGAGTATAGTGTTGATAACGAAGAGGCTTATATTTGGAAGTACAAAGGGAGACTGTGGTGCAGATATGGAAGTGACTCTTGAGTCGACTGGAAAATCACTTAAGTGCAAAGGGAGACTGTTGATGCTGATGAGGATTACCACCTCTAGCATTTGTTGTAGCAGACATGTCAATAGAGGTAATTGATATTGTGGAAGGCAGTGGTGTGGAAGAACAACTGCACGGGACTGCCGGATGCGGTGGCTGCAGGGAAGAAGGCATACGTGATTGCGATCAAGAGGCGGATCACGCCTGAGAAGCTCGCGAATTTCCCTGATGCTGGTGAGTGTGACGTGCTGGTGCTGGTGGCATGTGCGGAGGGGGTAATCCTGGATGACATGGGGCAGGGCAGCAGCGGGAGTGGCGGTGGTAGCAGTGGCAGCAGCGGTGGCGGGAGCAGGGCGTTTTATGCACCGGTGGTGACGCCGTTTGAGGCGCTGATGGCGCTGGAAGAGGGGTGGGAGTGGACGGGGGAGTATCGGATGCTGCTAGATGGTGCTGGGGTGGTAGCAGGAGGAAGTGGAGTAGGGGTGAGGAAGGGAGAGGGAGGTTCAGGGGATGAGAATGGGGAAGGAGATGGGGAAGGTGGGGAGGATGTGGCTCCTTGGTTCTTCTTTGTATAAGGATCGCTGGTATCCCTCGCCCCTCAAAGCATCATTGTCAGCAGCACCAGCAGCAGCAGCAGCAGAGGCGGCAGCAGCAGCGTCGGATCAATATTTGGCTGTCCGGCGGGACATGGCTCTTTCTACATTGCCCGTTTTGACTGACTCCTTGGCCCTGGCTCGGGCGTCCGGCCAATCGGGGTACGCCACGTCAGCGGCGGTGGAGGCGCGGTCCGGGTCGGATTTTTTGGCGCTGCGGCGTGACTGTAAGGGGCTGGAGGTTGTTTGGTTAATGGCGCCGCCTGGTGGGACACCGAGGGCGACACCTTGGGAAGGGGGAGGGGATGCAAGAGGGAGAGGGCATGAGAGTAAGGAAAGGGATGAGGGTGGAAGGGAGGATGGGGGAGTGGTGTGTGCTTTCATGCCGAGAGTGGGTCCGTCGATTGATGAGCAGTGAGGGTGGTGGAGGGGAGGGAGGGCCATGCTGCAGTGTACGTGGACGAACCACAAAATGGACAGGGAAGGATGATTTGAGCGAATATAGCCTTTCATGCCGAAAGTGGTTTTGGCGATTGATGCAGTGACGGTGGTGGAGGGGTAGGAGTTGAAAAGGCCGTTAAGGCAGAGAAACTTCTAGTGGTTGAAGACTAAGTTACGAGAAAAATAAAGTTGTTGGGATATATTTGCTGGTACTGTAACAAGAACAAGTCTTACACTGTGACGGAGCCATTGCCATCAAGAAAAGCAAGCTCTTGAGCTCAGAGTTGTGAGGGTGTCAGATTCATCGTTTCGGGTTTGTTTGACGCGGTTCAAAACGGTCCGCGGATTTCACCGTTTCAGACCATTGCGTACCGGAATCACCCTTGCGAAGTGAATTGTGAAAGAACACACATGACCCGCTCTGAGCATTGCGCATTTTCTAAGTTGGACAGTCATGGGTCTCAAGGAGCCGTTGAACAGCTTGAGGAGACTGAATATTAGGTACCAACAGTCGCGACAAGTGCGGTCGAGTCCATGGCGAGCGCAAATGCATGAATCTTGTGTTGACTACATAGCATCTATCTACCATTGGCGGAGTGTGAGCTTGAGAAATCTTAATCTCCATGGCAGCGCTGCAGCCTACTGGCGAACTGACAGAGCGCGCCGAGCGACGGGAGGAGAAGAGACAGAAGAACAATGCTGACCCCGAAGGCAAGGGCTACTATTGTGTTGCGACGCAGCGTCCGTCTTTTCACCTCATATTCACACTCCGAGCGAGAAGCGCCTAAACTTCACCTTCATGCATGGATGATAACTTAATTAACTTAGTGAACTCTTCCGTGCATTCCTTGTCCCCTTCACCTCCTTCTATTATGTCCGTCCTCCCTCCTGCTTTTGCTTCCTCGCGAGCTATGCGCGCACTGCGAAACATGTAGCTAGCACCTCATTAAGTGATTTCCCTCATGTGGTTCCTGTCCCTGCTACAAATCCCCATGTAACTCCTATCCGTTTCACCCTTACGTTGTTTCCTCTCTCTCCTCCTCTTACTCATACTGGAAAGAGTTCTAGAAAAATAAGATCGTGAGGTAGATGAACGCGCACCTCCACTACGTTATTCTCATTCTCTGCACCATGAAGTCCTTTTAGTGTTGGCGAGGTGGGCGTTTCGAGAAGTGTTCGAACGGATCACGTTTACGTGCTTGAAAGGAGATGCTGAAACGGAGAACTCAGGAGAAAATATTAATATTTGAGGAGCCAGAAACAAAAAAACTCAGAGAAAATGCTCAAAACAACCCCATTCCAAAGCCCTTCGCGAGTGCTCTCGCTGTCCAGACCCATTTCCAAGGCTTGAAATCACAGCCGCAAAGAAAACCAGCAATGAAGAAACTCAAATATTGTTCAAAACAACTCCATTCCAAGTCATTCCCCTCTCTCTCCCCCCAATAAATCCCCTTCCCACCCATCTTGTCCCTATCACCCCCCAGCCGCCACCCCCAGTGATCCCATAGACATGCTGCCGGCGTATCTCTGACACGCTACCTGCTGCTGCCACCCGGCTCCTCCCACCCTGAGAGTCCCCTCGTCCGGGGGAGACGCAAGGCGCCCTGGTATCTCACCGCCACAACTCAGCCCACAGCGGGCAGAAACCTGCCCGTGAAATTTGCGGGCCCTTCTTTCACAGCATTCGGGCAGCACTGGAAGAACGCGAGGAGCTATGGCAGTGGGTGGGCGCTGCTGTGCTGCGCCATGGCCAGCAAGAGGCTCCTGGCCCACGTCCTCTCCTTCTCCGTGAGTCTGCTCTGCTTGCTTGGCGCTTGACTTAGTTTGCACCTAAAACTAGTTTTGAGACACCTGAAAAACAGACCCCTAATTCTCTCCTTCTCCGCGGGTACTGGCTTGCTTTGCACTTACTATTTACATTTGGCTTGTGTTTGTAAAGCCTTATTGCGAGTTCTCTGCATGAGGTACGAGCAGCAGCCTATCTGACAAACAACTCCGTTCCCATCACAAACCCTCCAGCCAACCAGCCTTCACGCTCTCTTCTCCGATCCCGTCCCTCCCTCTCTGTAGGCCCACCACCCCATCACGCTGGTATACAACGAACTACACCCCGAGTGGATCAAGAGCGTCGAATACTTTCTGCGCTGGCGCGGACACCTCAGGTCCCTCTCGCCCACCTACACAAACTTCAAGCAGCTGGACTACCTTTGCTCGCCACTCAACCGCCCCTTCGCCTCCCTCACCTCCCTCAGTCCCAAACTCCGCGGCTGTGGGAATCACTTTTGAGAATTCTCAAAAGCGCCTCCCTCACCTCCCTCTCTCTCAAACTCCGCGGCTGTGAGAATCACTTTTGAGAATTCTCAAAAGCGCCTCCCTCACCTCCCTCTCTCTCAAACTCCGCGGCTGTGTCGACAAATCCTACCTGTACGATGATCTACCAGAGGACTGTGAGGACGATGCGGATGAGATGTTCTGGGTGCATGCCTTCGATTGCCCGGTGCTGCAGCGGCTGAAGCTCGGCCGGGGCAAGTGGAACCTCCAGGAGGAAGGGTGAGCTGAGCAGTACCAGTCGCTGCGCAGCTTGACTCTCAAGCACGTGGACTGGAGCTACGTGGATGTTGAGTATCTGGGCACGGTTACGCCGCGGCTGACAGAATTCACGCTCTATCACAGCTGGCGTTTGGACCGCCCGTCGTCCGGCCCTGGTGGTGGCGGCGAATTCCGTTTCGACTTGTCCAAGGCTCAAACCGTCCGGTTTTACTTCCCACAGAGAACCCTCACGCTCTTCCTCACCCTCTCTCGCTCGCTCAAAACCTTCACGGCGATGGCGAAACAGCTTGTACTCTCTTGCAAGAGCAGGACCCCTCTCGCTCTCCACCACCTCTCACTGTATGGCCAGCAGCGTTTCATCATCTCCTCCCTCCTCCTCGCTTCCGCACGAGTTGCCTATCTCAACGGCCCTCCCAAAGACCACCATTCACGCAATGAACTGGACTTTCCTGAATTGTCCCCTGAATTTTCTCCTGGATTTTCCTGGGCCGAATGGCTGCGCACCATAGCGCCAACAGTGGAAGTGCTTCAAGTGAGGCATGGGGTGCCTGTAGAGGGGGTTGACGCGGAGTGGCTCTGCCTGCGCAGCCTTGGGATTGTCGTGGAGAGTGAGGAGCGGTTTGAGGTGGATTTGAAGGTTGAGAAGCGGCGGGATGATGGTGAGAGGGAGGTTACAGTGAAGGAATTTCAGGAGTGCAACCAGAGGCTTCTGCAGCAGCAGCGGCAGCAGGAGCGGCAGCAGGAGCGGCAGCGGCAGCAGCAGTGGCAGCAGCGGCAGCAGCAGTGGCAGCAGCGGCAGCAGCAATGGCAGCAGCAGCAGCAGCTGCTGCAGCTTTTGCAGCAGCAGGGGCAGCAGCAGCAGATGTTTTAGCAGCAGCAGCAGCAGCAGCAGGAGGAGGAGGACGAGGACGAGGAGCAGGAGGAGCAACAGCAAGAAGGCAGGCCTCCGTTTATCTTGGCTCCAAACTTGAGAGCAATCTTCTTCCCCACCCACACATGCGAACAGCAAACCCTTGCTTCCCTACGCGACTTCTGTCCCTCTCTCGCCCTGTACTGCATCTCACGCCGCTCGTTCTACTGGGAGAAGCAGAGGAAACAGTTGCCAGATACTCCTATGATTCATGTGAGGAAGGCGAGAAGCGGGGTGCCACGCGCTTGCTTTGCGGACGAAGAACGTGCGGGAAAAGATGCACAGTGTGAATAGAGAGCTGGTGGATGGGTATAGTGTTGATAAAGATGAGGCTTGTTGGGAATAATAAGTCTTAAGCGCCTCTGTCGTGTCGAAACTCAGGACACTAGCGAAGCAGTCCGAATCGAAGCATCACGAGTCAACCCTCGGAGGTTAGGGTAACCGCCTGGAGGTTACGCAAAGGTCAAAGGCCAGCGACCTTTGACTTGACAAATACAGCGCGACAGCAAGGACACACAACTGACTCGACATTGAGCAGTTGCCCGAGTCGCACTGTATCGAATCGCAACAGTAAAACGATTTAAACTTATCTATTCGTATTCCTTCTACTCTTATATAAACCTTTGTATTTGCTTGTTTAATCAACTTATTTTGCCCTCACATACTAGCGCAAGGTGGTTCAAGCATCCTTTATTCAACGCTTCCGCCATTACAATCCTACTCAGACTTTAAGCTCTACAAAGATCCTAGGGCATTTCAGCCCAACATGGTATGAGAGCAGTTATAGTTTAAAGTTATTTTCCTTTTAACACTCAAATACAAGAAGACATGTCTGCAAGGAAGGAGAGGAGCTCCTCCAACGGCTCTCCAGGCACTACTCCTACTCCACCTCCTGCCTCTGGCCTACAGACAGAGGAAGGAACTACCACGAGACCAGCAGCTGGGTCCACGGAAACTCCCGCAAGCTTCGATCCAAGCATGATGGAGAAGTTCTTCTCCTTCATGTCCTTCTACGAGCAGCACCAGCAAGGAGTACCTGCGCAGTCAAACAACAGCAACAACAACAACGTGACTCCTATGAGCCTCGACGGCTCATCCTACGCACGCGGGATTCAACAACAACAACAGCAGCCTACCTTTGCGCCGTACGAGCCCCAACGTGGCTCCGTCAGCTTTATGCCGCAACCGCAACCTGCATCGGGACAAGAAAGGGCATTGGATGCGCTACAAATTCAATCGCAATTCGCGCATGTCCTAAAACTGCAAACGACGAAACCTTTCGACGGCAAAGACTTCTTCACCTGGTCGTTCGAGTTCGAACTGATGATGGAAGGAGCACAGATTCTCGGCTTCTTCGACGGGTCCCTGCCATATCCAACAAACGGGACGCAATATGAGAAGCAGCAGTACACCTATCAATTAATGATGGCGTACACGATACTGCTAAGAAACATCACCCCAACCCAGCAGCAGAACATCAGGACTTACCGAGGCTACGGCAACTCCGCGGAGCTCGC